GCTCCTCTCCTCCGTCTGCAGAGCTCCTCTCCTCCGTCTGCAGAGCTCCTCTCCTCCGTCTGCAGAGCTCCTCTCCTCCGTCTGCAGAGCTCCTCTCCTCCGTCTCGTCTCTTCCTGAGTCAGGAGCTCGTAGATGGGATCATCTGATCATTTAACATCAGTATAAATGAAAAAGGTTCTGACTTTGTGTCAAACACATCCGTTAAAAGAACCGGTGGGATTGTGGAAGAAGACTCGGAGCCACTTGAACAGGTCTTAACTTGTGAAATCAGCCTTTAAACAGATCCAGATCCAGGAAACTGTCCAGAAGCTCACAGACCAGGACCAGCTGAGGTGAGCTCCCACACCCCTAACGTCTGCTTCTTTCTTCAGCTTTTATTCTGAAAATAATCTTTTTGTCCTGATGTTTTATGTTTTCACAGTAAAATGTAAATGTGTGTAAAGRTTGGATGTAAACCAAGTGTCAACATTAGGACCAGATCAGATCTTTTCAAATGAATTTAAGATGAATTTTAATGGTGTTAGAGGAAAAATATCGTTGTGAAACCTGAACACTTACAGACGCAGAGAGCAGCCATCTTCTGCTGTTTTCCACAGTTTTCCTGTGACGACGACATAATTAACTCGTTATCACAACATATGGAAATAAATCTGTTGTTATCTCGAGAAAACCATGGGGAAAAATTAAACGGCCGCTCTCGGCTTCCATAGTTTCTGATTTTTAGAAGTAAAAAGTAAAAAGTCAAAGTTGCGTGGTTCTTCAGCTGCAGGTTCCCTCCTGCTGAGGCTGATGAAGAGGAGGAGGTGAGGCCTTCATCCTGACAGCTCAGAGGATTGATTCTCACTTCTGCAGCAGAAAAAGAAAAGAAGTCTCACTCTTCTGTCTGCGCCTGATTATCACCTCCTTTGAGCTGAAGCCACTTTGTTGTGTGGTTGGTGTGATGGAGCTCCTGCAGGGTCTGATTAGACGTCTGGGACGACTCTTCTCATGGATGCTTTTCATGCTCGTGACTGTCCTCCTCTGTGTCTGAAGGTGACAGACTCATCTCTGAARCAGTGATGGAACAGCAGGATGCAGGATGGGCACAAAACACCTGAAAGAGCTTCAGACCTTCATCAGACGTCTGAGGGAGCCGGGCCACACATCAGCTGAGCTGCTGAATCAGGTGAGGAGCCATTATCAGCGTGTTTATCAGGAAATGATGTCACCTGTGGAGAGGCTGTCATCTTCAGACCAGAGAGGCTGAGGAGACGCACGCTCTTAATTATAAAGCTTCAGGAAATGACTGACAGTATTTTCCTTCAGCTGACACATCATGAGGGATTTATTACTTCCATCTTTTTACAATCAGAACACAACAAGTCACTTTGTATTTTTCACTGAAAATCAAAAAGACTGCAGTCCTGCTGCTCTGCCAGACGCTCCTTTCTCACGTAAAAACWGATTTTTTCTCTAAGAAAAGTTTGATAAAGTTTCTAAATAAAACCTCTTTCATCTGTATCCTGATTGTTGTAAAGTGGTGACATGGAGTTGGGATTAGACCGGCCCCACAGAGTCTGCTCACAAACCAGCCGAAATCCTCCAAACCATCAGCCGAAATCCTCCAAACCTTCAGCTGAAATCCTTCAAATCATCAGCTGAAATCCTTCAAACCATCAGCTGAAATCCTTCAAACCATCAGCTGAAATCCTTCAAACCATCAGCTGAAATCCTTCAAACCATCAGCCGANTTCCAAACCATCAGCCAAAATCCTTCAAACCATCAGCTGAAATCTTCCAAACCATCAGCTGAAATCTTCCAAACCATCAGCCGAAATCCTCCAAACCATCAGCTGAAATCTTCCAAATCATCAGCTGAAATCCTCCAAACCATCAGCCGAAATCTTCCAAACCTTCAGCTGAAATCCTCCAAACCTTCAGCTGAAATCTTCCAAATCATCAGCTGAAATCCTCCAAACCTTCAGCTGAAATCCTCCAAACCTTCAGCTGAAATCCTCCAAACCATCAGCCGAAATCTTCAAAACCTTCAGCTGAAATCCTCCAAACCTTCAGCTGAAATCTTCCAAACCATCAGCAGAAATCCTCCAAACCATCAGCTGAAATCTTCCAAACCATCAGCAGAAATCCTCCAAACCATCAGCAGAAATCCTCCAAACCATCAGCAGAAATCCTCCAAAGCTTCAGCTGAAATCCTCCTCCAAAGCTTCAGCTGAAATCCTCCTCCAAAGCTTCAGCTGAAATCCTCCAAACCATCAGCTGAAATCCTCCAAACCATCAGCTGAAGTCCTCAAAGCCATCACCCAAAATCCTCCAAACTTTTAGCCAAAATCATCCAAACCAAACCTAGGACGGAGTGCAGTTTACAATGTTCCCATGCAGAGCGGACCCTCACAGCGGACCCTCACAGTGGACCACGCTGTGCTTTCTACAACACACTCCAAACACAATTCAGTAGAGGTGAAAGGAGCAGGGAAGGCTGGTTTCCTGTGGGGGACGTGATGTTCTGTGGGTTTATGTGCTGCACAGACCTCTGACCACATTTCACTTCTCTGTTCAACAG